CTCGGTCACTAGTTCAACATCGTGGTTCCTCAGCTTCCCATTCACACTACATTCAAGATTGTAGATATCCTTTTTGATAAAACCGATTTTATTCATTCCTCCAGATTGCACCTCGAAAATACTTACCTTCTGATTAATGGGAATATTAACCGAACCCAACTGTTTTGTGAGTACTTTTGTAGAATCTGAAATACGACGGTGTGATCTTAGTAAATGCATTCTTCCTGAGGGTGTCATCTTATGATTGTGTCCCTCTGCAAAAAGAGAGATGGTATACTTCTTGCTCCCATGTGTCTTCACAACCACAATCTTAGCTTTGCAATTGCATCTACTTATTCCCCGCTGTCTTTTTCTCTCCCGAGTTTCATCATTCCGGTATGCACCTTGTTTGCAACATACAAATTCTTTTCTCATAATCTCTTTCTTATTTTTCCCCCAAAAGCTGGAATGAAGTCGAATACCAAAGCCAGCCAAGAATGCATATCTATTATAGAAATTATAAACGAGGTCAAGCGAGTCGAACTTCACCCCAACTGCTGGTGTTTCCTCATTTCTTACTTCAGGAATGTAAACCCTCCCATTAGCTGTTACAGAGTCATCACTCTCTGAGCCCCCAGACATTTTATCCACGTATATTATTGATCTACTTCTATATTACTGCATAGCAAATGTTAATTCATTAATCAATCATTACTGCATCACAACTTATCAATGCATTCCACTTACACAAAACATTGCCCAAATTGACACAATACACGCATAGCCTAGCTTGTTGGATTCTGATTACACAAAACACAAGCAAAATTTAATAATAGTTACCTCATCTCTTGTGAAATAATCTGGAAAAAATAACATTAGAACCAACATGTTCAACTAAGAACTCAAATGTAATTCAAACCAGCAATTACAGAACTTCACCCAATATCCTCTCCAAATGCTTACTCCTAATGCCATTAAGCCTAAGTTTAGGATCTTTTACCTACATTTCATAATTTTCCAACCCCCCTCCAAAAAAAATAATCAACTAAGTATATTGAATATTCATAAGGAAATGACGCATTATTGATAGCAGAGCAAATGACGCATTATTGATAGCAGAGCAAATGACGCATTATTGATGCCACAAATGACAAATTTCTCACCCTCACAAAAAACAAATCAAACCCAACAAAATCAATCCAGCAAGAGTGAACTTACCTCTCAAAGTCAATCGGGAGCTCCGAAGTCAGTCAGCTTCAAAGAATGTGGTGGACATTAGAGAGGATTCTTTCGTAGTGGAGACTCCATCTCCACCAAAATCGAGGAACAACTGCAGCAGCACGAAAAAGAGATATGCTACTTTGCTTTCATCTGGAATCTCTTCTGCTGAACAAAAAGAGAAGGGGTTTTCACTTGAATCATAGAATCAAAACAGGGCAATAGCTAGGTAAAAGCCATTAATCGTCATACCGAGGATACCATAGATCGCAGGCCTCCCAAGGAGCTGATGACAATGGAGCGATTATAGAGTTTGGGAGGTTTGGATCTTTCTAATTGTGGATTTGCATTACATTAAAAAAGAGAGGATTGTGTTCTTGAGTTTTTCACAGAGAGGGAAAAATCTTCAGCTGAAGTTGGGTTTCCAAACAGGTCAGATTTCAACCCGGTTCTACATGCACCCTCTTTTAAAAACTCACCGTTGGATTTCATCCAACGGCTCTTACATACCCCTCAAAAAAACCCCTTATAACTTTCCACTCACTATAGAAGCACTCCCTAACCTCACCATTTAGCTAACCCTATAGGCTTAAGAATTGGTGTTTATATGGGCTTAAAAATTTGTGTTTATATGAAACAATAATATGACAATTAATATAGCAAGATAGCGTGTCTCGCAAGCGGTCTTGAGTTGTGTAGAATGAAAATATTAACTTTTATACTTTTCTTTCTATTCACTTTTAATTGATCTTAAAAGTTCTTTTTTCAATAATTTGGTAACATATGTTGTATTCTATTCAATAATAACCTTTATAAAAATAAATCAATTATCATAGTTGACCATATTGAAAAGAATTTAAAACAAATGCAAGAACTAATTTAAATTCATCTTTGTATTTATTGATAACAATTATCATAGTTAGGGGCTAACATTTGTGTACTCTACAAGTTAAAGGAAAATGCTAGGGAGACCAACTTTAGATACCAACTTGTGTACCATCTCTCTAATAGAGCATGGGACCCATTGTATTGGTGGGCTCCACCTCTATTAGAGAGATGGTGCACAAGTTGGTATCTAAAATTGGTCTCCCTAGCATGACCCCAAGTTAAAATTGAGCTAAACGTATTACAAAATATTTTAGGTAAAGTGTTTTCTTTGTTTCTGTTTCTTTTTTGAGATCTTATTTCTTATTTATGTGACATGTAGTCTTGGTTAGAGAAAATAGATGATATGACATTTAATTTTCTATAGCTTTTAGGTAGTAGTAGATTATCCGTATTGTCATTGCAAAGGAACACACACAAAAAAAGAGGCCCTTTAGCAAAAAAGAGGAAGTTTGGTGATCTTTACATAAATTATAAGAGTGTGAGCCGATGAGCCTTCTAGTAAAAACGACAAAGTTAAAGACCAAAAGAAGGGCGAAATCCAATTGCATATTGTAAACTAAGAATTGCAAACAAATGTTACGAATTGCATACTATATATGCAATTGCATATTGTAAAATAAGAATTGCACATAGATGCTACAAAATTGCATACAGGTATATGCAAATGCATATTATAAACTGAGAATTGCACACATGTGGTATCAAATATGTGATATATGCCCCAAAACCATTAAACATGGCTAAATTGTTGATTTAATTCTTGAACTTGTACCCAATTTTCAATTTATCTCATGACCTTTTTTGTTATAAAATTAAGGATATGAATTTGTCTTTATCGACAATATCTCCCCTGCCGTTTAATTACCTAACATTTCGTCCAATCTGCCATTAAATATGAGGGCAAATTGGTCATTTCATACGTTAAACATAATTGAATTATGTAAAATAAAATAATATGAAAGGATGTTAAATATATGCCCTAAAGCCAAACATGTGGTGTTGCTTTCTTTTCTGTATATTTCACCATCATTTATGGGTAAAATCATTGTTTTCAACTATGTTTAGTCTACAATCATAACAACACAATAATCCTTGGAATATGGTTCATATCTGGGCTATGCAATGAGACTTGATATAAGAAGACTTCTCATACTTCCACTTCATGTCATAAACATTCATGATCATATATTATCAATTGGGCATTGATCATAATCGAAAAAGTCCCATTTTCTTTTTTGTCAATTCAATGTGGCCGGTAATAATTTTTGTTGAAAGTTTTTAAATTTATATTTGTATCAACAATCATATGTTGATTTTTTTCAATTCACAATATAGTAATAATTGGAGACAATCAACAAAGTTCAATTTTATTCCCAATAGTTCATTGGGTTAAATTAGTAGTAAATCACGAAAGTTATATTGAGTAATTTATGCCAACAAACCTACTTAACGAATGCTAAGCGACTCGTTTGTCTGGTAAATGATGTTGCCTGTTGACCAGATTACCCAACGAACTCCATGATTTACTCAACAAACAAGGTATTTTACTTCGAGGAAGTAAAGGGTGCGTTCGTTGAATAAAGTTGGACATTTCCTGGGAAATTGGACCCAACTAACTTAATTTTTCAAACAAATGGGCTATTTGTTCACGCAAATGCATGGTTTGCGTTCGTTGAGTAAAGTTGTTTGTTGTCAAGAAAAATGGGTCCAACTAACTTACTTTTTCAAACAAACGGACTATTTATTCACGTAAACCCATGGGTTGCGTTCATTGAGTAAAGTTGCCCGTTCTCTAGAAAAATGAGCATAACTAACTTACTTTTTCAAACAAACAGACTATTTATTCACGCCAACGCATGGGTTGCATTCGTTGAGTAAGGTTGCCCATTCTCTGGAAAAATGGGCATAACTAACTTACTTTTTCAAACAAACGAACTATTTATTCACACCAACGCAATGAGTTGCTTTAGTTGAGTAAAATTGCCCGTTCTCTGGAAAAATGGGCTCAACTAACTTACTTTTTCAAACGAACGGACTATTTATTCACGCCAACACAGAGGTTGTGTTCATTGAGTAAAGTTGCCTGTTCCCAGAAAAATGGGCCCAACTAACTTACATTTTCAAATAAACCGACTATTTGTTCACGCGAACACAATGAGTTTTGTTCATTGAGTAAAGTTGCACATTCTCTGGAAAAATGGGCCCAACTAACTTACTTTTTCAAGCAAACGGAATATTTGTTCACTCAAACGCAGAGAGTGTGTTCGTTAAGTAAAGTTGCATGTTCCTAGAAAAGTGGGCACAACTAACTTACTTTTTCAAACAAACGAGCTATTTGTTCACGCAAACGCATAGGTTGCGTTTGTTGAGTAAAGTTGCTCATTTTCTGGAAAAATGGGCCCAGCTAACTTACTTTTTCAAACAAACGAACTATTTCTTCACGCAAACACAGGGGTTGCGTTTGTTGAGTAAAGTTGCATGTTCCCTTGAAAATGGTCCAATTAACTTACTTTTGCAAACGAATGAGCTATTTGTTTACGCAAACACAGGGGTTACGTTCGTTGAGTAAGATCACCTGTTCCCTGAAAAAATGGGTCCTACTAACTTACTTTTTCTAACAAAATGGCTATTTGTTTCGGCAAACGCAGGGGTTGCATTTGTTGAGTAAAATTGGTTGTTCCCCCGGAAAGTGGACTCAACTAACTTACTTTTTCAAATAAACGGAATATTTATTCATGCGAATGCAAGGAGTTCGTTTGTTGAGTAAAATTGCCCGTTCCTTGGGAAAATGGACCTCACTAACTTACTTTTTCAAACAAACGGGCTATTTTTTTCTATCGAACGCAAGGAGTACGTTCATTGAGTAAAGTTTGCCATTTCCCGAGAAATTGGACCAAGTAAAGTTTGCTTGGTTGATGAAACAATGTTTGGATGATTTCTGTCAGTTGTCTGGTCAGCGAGTTAGCTTTGAAAAGTCTATGATATGTGTCTCCCCAAATACATGCTCTGAGTTGGCTAATTCAATTGCTGCGATTAGTGGTTCTCATCTCACTACTAGCCTTGGTAAGTACCTTGGTGTCCCTCTTATTCATACTAGAGTTACTAAACAAACGTATCAAGAAGTTATTGCTAAAGTTCAGAAGAGATTAGGTTCTTGGAAGAGCCATACGTTATCTATGGTTGGTAGAATTACTTTGCTTCAATATGTTACTACTACAATTCCTATCTATACTAAGCAAACTGCCAAGTTGCCTATGTCTGTCTGTGATAAATTGGACCAGCTCAATAGAAATTTTCTTTGGGGGCATACCAGTAACACATCTAAAATTCATCTTGTCAATTGGGAGCAGGTGTGTAATGTTATGTTTTCCTATTTAGATCGGTGCACTAGATACTAAGTTATATTAGGTTTGATAAGAGTTTAAATTAAGTTGTACCTTGAGACCCAAAACCCAGTGAAATAAGGAAGGGTTTTGAGGCCTATTAAGGGGTCCTATTATATTTCCATTTATGCGTGAACCGATTAAGTGGGTTTGGAAGATAAGTCAAATCGGCCCTCGGTGATGAGTAGAGACAACTTGACCTAGCCCTATATTAGCTAAATGCCCTACTCTCATCAGACACGTTCTCTAAACCTATTCTCATCATAAAGAGAGAGCTGAAACAGATTATGAGATAGAGCAGAAGTCTTGAGCCATTCCTGTTTTTGCTGGGATTGTTGCTGCTACAGATTGGATGAATTTAGAAGCTGTGTACTCAAGGAAGATGACTCCAGGTATGTCTTCATGTTTTTACACGTATTACAGATTGTGTGTAAGATCTAGAACAAGCATATAAAGAATCTAACATGTAAATCTAAGGTAGTTGGTGGATTAGGCATTAAAAGGTCTGCTTGGATGAACCAAGCTCTTTTGGCTAAAACTGGATGGAGACTTCTTCAACATGAGCAAGGTTTGTGGTCTCAGGTCTTCTATGCTAAATACTTAAAACAACAGAACATTTTAGCTGTGAAGGACTCTTGTTTTCCTTGTAGCTCGAGTGTCTGGAGGGGTGTTCTATATGGTAATTTTGCCCTTTAAAAAGGTGTTAAGTGGAGAGTAGGTTCTGGGGATAATGTTTTATTTTGGACTGATAGGTGGTTGAGTTGTGGTCCTTTGTATCAATATGCTCTCATTGATCTCTCTGAGGAAATGCTTCAGTTGAAGGTTGGTGATTTTTTGGAGAAGGGGGTCTGGGACTTTAACTGTTTAATGGAATGTCTTCCTCTTCATATTATTCAGTTAATTTTAAGTGTGCATACTGGTTTTAATGGCAGTGGGGCTGATAGAGACATATGGCAGTTCACACCTAATGGTTCTTTCTCGGTAAAATCAACTTATAGTTCTTGTTTGCTTGCTGAGGCTTCAGTTAAATGGGACTGGTAGTTTCTTTGAGGTTGCGGCTCCCTCCTAAGGTTAAAACTTTTCTTTGGATTGTTTGTCATCAAAAGTTGCTTACTAATGTGCAAAGGCAGAAGAGAGGCCTCACTCAGGTTCCTACTTGTCCTAAATGTGATTATCCTATGGAAACTATTGCTCACTTGTTTAAGGATTGTCCTTTCTTGTTGGCTATTTGGAATTGTCTTCAAATTGGAGATAATTCTAGCCCTAATATGATGGATTTTAAAGAGTGGCTGTTAAGGAATCTTCAATCTAAAAGAAAGGTTTATAATGGGTTGCCTTGGCCTTTGGTTTTTGCTATTTATTTGTGGTTTATCTGGAAATGGAGATGCAAAGGAATTTTTGATCAAAGGTTTGTTATGCCTGGTGAACCACAACAATTAATTCTTCAGTATGCTTTGGAATGGTTTAATGCTACGAAAACTACTTCCCCTTCTTATATGCCATCTGTTGTTCAACTTCATTAGATAGCCCCTACCTATGGAGTTTGTAAGATTAACACAGATGGAAGTCGTAATAGTGATTCTAGGTTTATTGGTGCTGGTGGTCTCTTAAGAGATAATTATGGTGCTTGGATTAAGGGCTTCTCTGTGAACCTGGGTGTTGGTTCTGTGCTTGAAGTTGAGTTGTGGGGCATTTTTTGGGGGCTTCACTTGGCTTGGGAGGCTGGCTTTCGTTTTGTGGAGGTGGAAAGTGACTCAAGTGTGGTTGTGGCTCTTCTGTCAAGCTCTACTATTTCCACACACCCCTTGTTTAGCCTTGTTAGTTGTTGCAAGTTAAAGGTGCAAGCTAGTTGGAGATGTTCAGTTAAGCATATCTTCAGGGAGCAGAATGTGGCGCTGATGTCTTGGCATCTAAGAGTTTTGAGTTTGGCCCTGGGGTGCAGTATTTTACTGAGGTGCCAGCTTTTCTTTTGACTTGTTTGGCTGAGGATGCTGTTGGGGTGTCCAGGTCCCGTGTTGTTTGTGCTTAGTCTGGTTGTTTTGGGCTTTTAGCCCTCCTTGTTACCAAAAAAAAACTTTATCAAACAAACACACTATTTTTTCACACGAATGTAGGGGTTGCTTTCGTTGTGTATGTTGCGTTCATTTGATAAATTTAAATGTTTGTATATTCGGTAAGAAAAAATAAGAGTTTGCGAGAAAGAAAGACATAAATTTTTTTGTTTTGTTTTTGTTTTGAGTCGAAGAAATTATTATTATTATTTTTTAAAGAAAAAGCGTATGGGTGTGATATATACTATTGCTAATTTAATTGGATCTTTCCCCTTATATTTTTCACGTGCTTCTTTTTTAAAACTATTTAAAACTTTGTTCTCATAATAAAAAGAGAATAAAATTACGAATATATTCACATAACTAAAACTCGAACCTAAGCCTTGCATCAAGGGATATGCACTAGAAAACAACTCCACTAAATATACTTTTTGTGTCAATGTGTTGCCCGTTGGAGTATATATATAGTTTTTATAATATTAATATATTATATAAAGTAAAAAAATTTAGGGGGTCCTAAAAAATCAGGAGCCTTGTGCAGTGGCACCACACCATGTCAGGGCTGTCCTTGCCCATTAGTTGGGTTAATCCTAACTATCACATATATGGGAGGACAGTAAGGAGCTCAAGAGAGACCTATGTGTACCATATTCAAACATGACTTACAAACCAGGTTACATGACTTGGTATGACTATTGTATGAATCTAGATGGTTGTTCCTCATTGTTTGGACCTCATTGGAGCTCTTCATTTATGTAGATGGACACTTATCTAAATTGTAATCCAATGTTTAAACAAACTATGGATTTATGCATGGTTTATTCATTCTAATCAACATTTTATTTTCAAACTTTTCATTAATGCGCATTATATACCACTTATATTTCATCATATGTATATCTTATTATTAGTAAATTTTGAGTTTTATTTGTTCAATACATTCATTGATAATGTACATAACATTTATGAAAGTTTTACACCAAAATTGTGGGTTTCAATGCCTATATCTGTCATTTTTGTTGATTTTTTCCTGATACCTAAAATGATAACGATATATCCCCCGAAATATCCATAAATTGAAGGCCTGATATTATCTGCACGACTAATATTTTAATCCTTGGCCTTACCTCTGTGAGGTGAAGAAATTGGATTCATCACTATCCATATTAAGGGTAATGATTAAAATATAGATCTCAAGTAAATAGCTTAGATTTACAATATGGCTCTTAATTGCAATGTTAAACCCTACATTAGTTATATTCTTTTTATTTTTTTGGCCTAAATATAATATAGGTAGTCTAATTATTTTTTTCTATAGGTATCTATACATTATTATATAATTTTTTAATTTCTTTTAGTCAAATATAATATTCTTTTCTATGCGTTCGTGTGAAAAATTAGCGCGTTTGTTTGATAAAATATTTTAGTTAGTCCAATTTCCCAGGGAACGACGAACTTTACTCAACGAGCGCTCCCCTTGCGTCTTCAAAGTAAAATACCTTGTTTGTTGAGTAAATCAAGGAGTTCGTTGGGTAATTTGGTCAATGAACAACATTATTTACCCGACGAACGAGTCGCTTAGCGTTCTTTAGGTAGGTTTGTTGGGCATAAATTATTGAGTATAACTTTCATGATTTACTACTAATTTAACCCAATGAACTATTGGGAATAAAATTGAACTTTGTTGATTATCTCCAACTATTCCTATACTGTTAATTAAAAAAAATCAATAAAATCAAACATATGATTGTTGGTTCAAATATAAATTTAAAAACTTTCAACAAAAATTATTACTTAATGGTCGATTGATTGAGCCACATTGAATTGACGAAAAAGAAAATTGGACTTTTTCGATTATGATCAATGCCCAATTGATAATATATGACCATGAAGTGAAGTGGAAATATGAGAAGTCTTCTTATATCCAATCTCATTGCATAGCAAACATACGAATCATATTCCAAGGATTGTTGTGCTGTTATGATTGTAGACTAAATAACATAGATGAAAACAACGATTTTGCCCATAAATGATGGTGAAATATCCAGAAAAGAATGCAATATCACATGTTTGGCTTTAAGGCATATATTTAACATCCTTTCATATTATTTTATTTTACATAATTCAATTATGTTTAACATATGAAATGACCAATGTGCCCTCGTATTTAATGACAGATTGGACGAAATGTTAGGGAATTAAATGGCGGGGAGACATTGGCGATAAAGAAAATTCATATCCGTAATTTTATAAAAAAAAATGTAATACGATAAATTGAAAATTGGATATAAGTTCAAGGACTAAATCAACAATTTAGCCATGTTAATGGTTTTTGTGGGCATATATCGCATATTTGATAGCACATGTGTGCCATTCTCAATTTACAATATCCATATGCATATACCTGTATGCAATCTCGTAGCATCCATGTGCAATCTCATTTTACAATATGCAATTGCATTCCGCCCTTTTTTCGGTTTTTAACTTTTTTCGTTCATATGCAATCTCGTAGCATCTATGTGCGATTCTCATTTTACAATATGCAATTGCATATATATGTATGCAATTTCGTAATGTCTGTTTGCAATTCTTAGTTTACAATATGCAATTGCATTCCACCCTTCTTTTGGTTTTTAACTTCTTTCGTTTTTACTAGAAGGCTCATTGGCTCACTCTTATAATGTATGCAAAGATCACCAAATTTCCTCTTTTTGGCTAGAGGGCCTCTTTTTTGTGTGTGTTCATTTGCATGATAATACGCATAATCTACTACTACCTAAAAGCTATAGAAAATTAAATGCGATATCATCTATTTTCTCTAACCAAGACTACATGTCACATAAATAAGAAATAAGATCTCAAAAAAGAAACAGAAACAAAGAAAACACTTCACCTAAAAAATTTTGTAATATGTTTAGCTCAATTTATAACTTGTAGAGTGCACAAATGTTAGCCCCTAAGTATTAGACCCTCAGAAGAAGGTGAGAATCTCACCAAGTATGCATGAAAAATCCAAGTGAGCATACCCCTTCCTGCAAATGAGAGGGAGGTAGAGAGAGATTATTTAAACACTGTGATGGTATCTCAAAACATATATTTTAGTGCAAAAAAAATGCACTTTTCTTAACTGCTATTTTCCTGAATCCTTAGCCAAAGCAACCAATATATAGCAGTTACGGCAATCACAGCAACCAATACCAATCATGAACATCACATTTGAACCATACACTTACAGATTTAGCAATACAATCTTTGAAATGGTAATGGCAACCCAAGACACTGAGCTCCATTCCGGATATACGAACAACAGTCATTGTGTTAGGAAGCTCTTCCCTCATAACACCCATCAGCTTTTCAAGTGACTGAGTTGGTCACTTGAAAGCCCTTGAAAAAACCACATTGGGAATTCACCTTCCTAAAAATGATTGCCCAAGAAAACCATAGCCAATTTTTTTTTGGTGAGACATCGCTGATGTATTTCATGAGCATTTTCACAGAGCTCATATACTCTACACAAAGACTAATTATATCAAATTTGACCAGATCCAACAAGCATTCAGAAAAAGGAATAAAAATAGAATTTCAACATCCCATATCACTACTACAAAAAGTGAAAAAGACGACCAGAAAAACACGACGATCTAAGTGAAAACGTCGTTGTTTTTTAAAAGACGACGGTTTTATAAAACCGCCGTGTAATAACACCTTAGACAACTAAAAAATGGAGATTCAAATGGCTGTTCCTAAAACACGACGTACTTAATTAAAAAACCGACGTCTTATTGAAATAGGATTTTCAAGTGGTAAAATCATAGCCAACAAATAACGGCGGAAGTTATGAACCGACCAACGTAGAAAGTAAAGACGACGATTTCAAAAAAAGCCGCCGTTTTTACCCAGAAATTAACACGACCAAGTTTTCGTATAAGGCGCCGTATAATTACAAATAAATCCACGGCGGTAAAATACAAAATACCGCCGTATTAAATTAATGTACAACTACACCAAAGATAAATATAACGACGTCTTTCTTGTATTTCTACGACGATATCTTTAAATCTTACCAAGTTGGGGTTTTCATTTAACGACGTATTATACAATTTAACGTCGTATTTGTCCACTTTATACGTCATACATTATATTTAAACCGTCGTCTGAATAAGAATTTTTTTTAACAATTTATTTCTTGGATTTTGTTATCCTACGTCGGTAGATCTACTTAATGACAAGAATTGAAATAACCACGACGGTTTATATAGAAAACCGCCGACATAATCAGATTTTTCTGAGATCACAAGGGTTAGGAAATTTTACAAGATGGAACTCTGTTGCTCATCATAATCTTACCAGAAAGACAATATTTTAGAGGTTAATGATGTATGTGTATTTGTGTCTTTGAGATACACAAACGCACATACACATTAACATCCAAAAAATTGCTTTTGAAATTTGACGACGGCAGCCTCAGATTTGCAATCAGAGAGACAATTTTTTGGAAGTTGATGATATGTGTGCGTTTGTGTATCTACACAAACGCACACACACATCAACATCCAAACAATTGCCTCCTAAAATTTCACGACGGCAGCCACAGATTTGCAATCAGAGAGACAATTTTTTGAAAATTGGTGATGTGTGTATGTTTGTGAATCAGATACACAAACATACACACAAACCAACATTCAAACAATTGCCTCCCAAGAGATGAGGTGAGACAGAGAAAGGGGCAAGAAGAAGTTGAAACCCTAATCGAATACTAAAACTGAAAGCACCCATGAAAAAAAACCCTATTTATAATTAAAAAACCAAATCCACGTCGGTTATATTACACATAACGACGTTTAACAAAAATAAACCACGTCGGTAAACAAATACATTACGTCGTTTTAGTCTTACTTAAGACGACAAGAAAAGACGACGGTATAACAAAAAACAGTCGTTGTTTTTATATTTGTATTTGATTTAAATCAGTCACCCAGAAAAGAAACTTTACAAATTCTAGAACATTAATTTCCTCGAGAAAAAAAACTCTATTTATAAGGCACTGTTTTTGAAAAATAAACTGAAAGAAAAAGGGAAAAAAATTATATTTAAAATTATAAAAATAAAATCCACGTCGGTTATATTACACATAACGACGTTTAAAAAACGAATCCACGTCGCGAAAAAAATATTGCGTCGTTTTAGTTTAAAAAAGACGACGGTATAACAACAAACAGTCGTTGTTTTTATATTGGTATTTGATTTAAATCAGTCCCCCAGAAAAGAAACTTTACAAATTCTAGAACTTTAATTTCCTCGGGAAAAAAAACTCTATTTATAAGGCACTGTTTTTGAAAAATAAACTGAAAGAACAAGGGAAAAAAAATTATATTCATAATTATAAAAATAAAATCCACGTCGGTTATATTACACATAACGACGTTTAAAAACGAATCCACATCGCGAAAAAATATTGCGTCGTTTTAAATTAAAAAAGACGACGGTATAACAACAAACAGTCGTTGTTTTTATATTCATATTTGATTTAAATCAGTCACCCAAAAAAGAAACTTTACAAATTCTAGAACATTAATTTCCTCGGGAAAAAAAACTCTATTTATAAGGCACTGTTTTTGAAAAATAAACTGAAAGAACAAGGGAAAAAAAATTCTATTTATAATTATAAAAATACAATCCACGTCGGTTATATTACACATAAGACATTTTAAAAACGAATACACGTCGCGGAAAAAAATATTACGTCGTCTTAGTTTACAAAAAGACGTCGGTAGAACATAAAACCGTCGTTGTTTCAATTTCTTTAACCGTTCTCTTTCTGAAGCCATTTCTATTCTTTATCGCATTCTTGAAAACCCATCTTCTTCTTCAGAAGCTCTACGGATAACCCATCTTCTTCACTAATGTCGATAACCCATCTTCTTCTATCACAAACCTGACGGATCTTCTTAGCCAAGAAAATCGAGAAGAGGCTGACATATGATCTTCAGGTTTCCCTGAGAAGCAAACTTTCCTTCGACAACGAGTGGAGGCCAGGCTTGCATCTCTTTTGATGGAAAGCAAGGAGTATTCAGAAGCACTAAGTCTCCTATTAGGATTGACAAGCTTCCTCTTGTGGACATAGATTTGTTGGAGAAAGACATCCAAATTATTGTCTTCGAGATGTGAGAGAGAGTGTCTTTGAGAGAGGAAGAACTTGGAAACCTAAATGAAAACTGAAACTGAATGAAAGCGACAAATTTATACAATAAATTTTTTAAACCCACGGCGGTCCTTACACAAAACCGCCGTCTATTTACAAAATTCCACGTCGGTATATTACAACAAAACGACGTATATTATAAAAATAACGTCGGTAAATTACAAAAAACCGTTGTGTTAAATATTTCTACCATGACGCGAGATATTGATTTATCGACTTTTATTTAGGAGTTTACTACGGCGGTACCCACAACACTACTGTCGTATTTATTTACCACGTCCTAGTTTGTCTATTAATACGTCGTCGTTCTATGTAAACCGCCGTCTTATTACTATGAAACGGTTTGTATATATATACAACTTTTCGTCTACCTGACTTACACATGCACTGTTTCCAAACCCGAGAAAAAAATTCAATCTCCCAGAGAAAACTTTTCGTCTTTTTTCCTTGTTAGAGCACTGTCAGAGTATCTCATCGTCTTCCTCTCGTCTTCGTCGTCATCTCTGAACTTAAACACCAAACTCCGAGAGAAAGCTTTCATTGCACGCAAAAGGTAAGCTTTCATTTCTCACTATTTTTGTTGCTATTTTGCATGCTCATACGGTTTTTGTTTTGAAAATCTTTTTACCTTTTTTCTGGCGAAAATCATTTTTATTCTTTCCAAGTTTGATAAAATACACAGACAGAGAGGGAAAGTTTCCACCTTTGAACACAACTAACTCAACTAAATAAGACGACAGTAGCTTCTTATTTACGTGGTTAAATATGTAGACCACGACGGTTCGTCAGTCGTCCTAGCGTCGTCTTAAAATTGATCTAAGTTGTTTTTAAAATGACGGTCAATTTTTTATTTGCTTGTTTAATTGCAGGTTTGATTTCTCTGAACCATGGTTTTCGTTTTTCCTAATTTGATAAAATACAAAGACAAAGAAAGTAGGGTTTGGTATCTTATATAGACGACGGTATCTTATTATTGACGCCGTGTGAATGTTCATACCACGACGTTATACTAAGATACCGTCGTCTATAAAAGATGCCAAACCTTTCTTTCTTTTTCTTTGTATTTTATCAAATTAGGAAAAACAAAAACCATGTTTCAGAGAAATTAAACCTGCAATCAAACATTCACAGAGAAAGAAAAATATTTTTGGTTTCTTATAAATACGACGGTAGCTTATTATTCACGTCGTGTGAATATCCATAACACGACGTTATATTAATATTTACGTCGTGTGAATTTGAATATCACGACGTCGTGTAAATATCGCCGTAATAAGTTCTTATTACGTCTTCTTTAATATTGTTTCGTCGTTGTTTAAACATTTATATTGTTTCTTCTTTAAACATTTATTACGTCTGATGTTATTTTATTACGTCGTGTAAAATCTTATCATACGTCGTATTTTATAAATAACCGTCGTTTGTGTTCTAATTTTTTTCCTGAAATATTTTCACTTGCAGGTTTGTTTTTTCTGTAACCATGGTTTCTCAAGACCAAAGTAAGGACTCTGGCTCCAAAAAAAATGGAGGTAAGGAGCTTGGAATGGTAACTCCTCAAGACAAGCCCTTGAAGAAGATGAAGTTTGTTTCATCTGCTGAGACAGAACCAACCAGAACGACAACAATTTCTGAGGATTCAAAGTCTGGTCGAGGTATGAGCACAATGCCTCGTGTTGTGAAGAGAAAATTGCAGAAAATCAAGCCAGTTGTTGAGTACAATAAAAGGGGGGAAAGGATGTGGCCCTGCACATACTGAGATGCAGTCCTACATTGGTGTGTTGGCACGCTCCAGAGTCCCACTTGTGGACAAGAAATGGGCTGAAATCCCCAAGGATATAAAGGAGCAGATTTGGGAAGCCGTTGACATGGCTTTTGTGGTAGGTCAAGGGGACAAGACCTCGGTGTTATCTTCTGCTGCCAAGAAATGGAAGGATTTCAAGTCTACACTGACGAGGCATTATATCCTTCCATACATCAAGGAGAGGGAGAAATTAAGCCAACCCCCTGAAGTATATAAATTCATAGAGAAAGCAGAATGGGATGCCTTTGTAGCTTCAAGGTTATCCAAAGAATTTGAGTCTGTGCATTCTCAACATTCACAGATTAGGGAGAAACTTGAGTACAATCATCGATTGTCTCGAAAAGGATATGCTGGTTTGGAGGACCAATTGGAGGAAACCATGCCTGGGGTAGAAATTGATCGATCTACCTTATGGAAGAAAGCTAGACAGGACAAACATGGTAACATCCCGGATCCAAAGGTGGCAGAGAAAGCAAAATTAATTGTAAGCCTACACACTCTGTTTTAAATTTTTATTAAACTCTGTATAATTCTTATTACGTCTTATGTTATATTTTTCCATTGTGTGAATGATTTTACTACGTCGAAATGTTTTAAAACACGTCGTGAAAGATCTAAATCTGGAATCACAACTCTGTTTTCTGTAATTATAGCATAAGACGTCGGTGGTTAATTTTTTCGTCGTGTGAATGATATTACTATGTCGAAATGTTTTCAAAAACATCGTGAAAGATCTAAATCTGGAATCACAACTCTGTTTTCTGTAATTACAGCATAAGACGTCGGTGGTTTATTTATTGCGTCGTTTGAAACAACTAACCACGTCATTTTTAAGTAACGTCGTTATAAATATATTATAACGTCGATTTCTATGTTGTTGCGTCGTGTGAAATTATATAATGCGTCGTTTGTTTATAAATAACCGTCGTGTGTTTTCTTGTGCTGACTTTTTTATATGTCTTTGTTTTAGGATGAATTGCAAAAACAAGTGGCTGAAGGCAGTCTTAGTTTAACTGGCAGTAATGATGTGTTGACCTTGGCTTTGGGTCCCGAGCATCCAAGGAGAGTAAGAGGGGTAGGTGCTGGGATTTCCCCTAGGCAATTCTTCAATTTACCTAGACCACAGAGGATAAAGTTTGCCGATCAATTGAAGGAAAGTGTAAGAATTGTCCTTCAAGAAGAGACTAAGAAGATGGAAGCTAGAACCAAACAATTGGTAGAGGCTGAGAGGGAACATTTACTAAGTCAGCTTTCCCAACTCATCCCCAATTTTGATCCAAGCATGCTTAAACCGAAAACTAGCCCCTGTCAAAACCAAGGTCTAGAGCAAAGTCCCAAAAATCCAATGTCTGATAAAGCAAGCTGTTCTGGGGCTGATGTGAGATCCCTACATTTAGAGGATGATACTGCCAAAAATGGGGAACAGCAGGAAGAAACGGTAACATATCTGAACTTTGAATTCTCTGTTTTTTTTTAAAACATTAGACGTCGTTATTATGAAGAAACCCGTCGTTTTAAAACCATACCACGACGATTTTATAAATAAACCGTCGTTTTTATTTAAATACCACGTCGTATTTAGTTTACTTGTTTTACACGCCATTAGACGTCATACTTTGTGGTTTTTAGACGACGGTTTTAGTCCTTACCAACGTAATAGACAATTACCACGACGTTTATTATTTACCATCGTTTAATAATTTTAAGACATCCATAATTCTTACATACCGTCTTATGTTATGCCTTACCACGACGTTTTGATTTAGTTTTTTTACTTTCTGTACAATCTGTCTTATATATATATTTCTTTATTACTTAAAATAGAAATCTGGGGCTTTAGAAAATCAAGATGAAGAGAAGAAAGAAGAAAAAAAAGATGAAGAAAGGAAGGGAGAAAAAAAAAGATGAAGAGAGGAAGGGAGAAAAAAAAAGATGAAGAGAAGAAGGAAGAAAAAAAAGAGAAAAAATATGAAGACAAAAAGGAAGACAAAAATGATGAAGAGAAGAAAGAAGAAAAACAAGAAGAAGAAAAGCATGATATTCTCATAACTTTGCCCTTTTTATTTGTTTTTCACATTTCAGACGTCGATATTTTTCTTTAAACCGTCATTTGTTTTCAAATTAAACGTCGGAATTTATTTTCTATGACGTAATAAATTATTTAAAACAACGTTTTTTATTACCGTCGTTTAAATTATTATCAGACGACGTTTTTTAATTTAAACCGTCGTTTTTATTGAATTACCACGTCATTTTATTTTTTATTTCTTTAAACAGGGTAATGAAGTAGTTGATTATTCAAATGTGGAGGTGCCATCTTCCTTACAATCCCTTTGTCGTTATGTGGAAACGACACTAAAGCCATAGGGGAAGATCATGACCTTCAACATTGAGAAGGAGGTGGTTGGTGCAGATCGCAGTACCTTCGTCTTGCATGAAGATATTACACAGTTTGCAGGCATGGAAGAAATTGGGGCTACTGTGGTTGCAGTATATATGAGGTTTGTCCTTATCAAATATCAAACATTATAGCATAAGACGTCGGTGGTTTAATTATTGCGTCGTTTTAAACCACTAACCACGTCGTTCCTTTTTTACCGTCGTGATAAATTAGTTATAACGTCTGTTTCTATTTCAGTTCGTCGTGTGAAATTGTATAATACGTTGTTTGTTTATAAATAACCGTCGTTTGTTTTATATATTTAGGTGCTTATATGATCGTTTGAGAGAAGCAAATATGTGCAACATGGTTGGCTTTATCGACCCTGCTCAAGTTAGTGCCAACGCTGGGTCACTAACTGACAGATCACGAATTGTAGCCAGTCGACTTCAGAAAACAGATGGTGAACAGATTTTCATGATGCCTTACAATCCAGGGTTAGTCTCCTTAAAAGGATTTTGTTTGTATGATTTTCACTAACTGACCACTTATAAAACTGTTTAACTAATTTTGTGTCGTTTGAAACATCTAACCACGTCGGTTATTTATTTATTGAGTCGTTTGAAACAACTAACCACGTCGGTAGTTAATTACCGTCGTGATAAATTTATAATGACGTCGATGGCTACGTTATTACGTCGTGTGAAACTATATAATACGTCGGTTTTAATAAATAACCGTCGTTTGTTTTCTTGTGCTGACTTTTTATATTAACCGTCGTTTTTTATTTTAATTTTGTGCAGCCGTCATTGGGTCTTGCTGATTGTGAGAGCAAAGAGGGAAACCGTCTATTTTCTAGATCCTCTGCCTGGAACTCGTGTGGTTGATGAGGAGGGCAAAAACATCGTGAACAGTGCTTTAAAAATTTATAATTCCCACATAGGCAGACCAGGCCGTAAAGCACCAATTTGGAAAACTCTGCCAGGCACACCAAAGCAACCCAGCAGTGTCGAATGCGGGTATTATGTGATGCGCTTCATGAGGGACATCATCATAGATCCTTCCTTGGAGTTTGAGAAGAAGGTAAGAAGAAAATTTTCAGAAACATTTTATGTGGTTTTTTGTATTATCAACGACGATCCTTTAAAATTACCGTCGTTGAATCGATAGACTACGTCGGTTATGAAAAAAAGTGTCGTCTGTGACTAAATTTCTTTTTATTTTGTAAAGCTTAATAATCATTGTTTATGGATTGCAGTTTGCCAAGGGAAAAGAGCAAGCGCCATACCCCCAAGCAGCTATTGATGAAGTCCGGAATGAATGGGCAGAGTTTGTTTGCCTTCATATGGAATAGAGGATTTTTGGAACACTTGATATTTTTATATGTACTAATTTTGTCTATAATATATAATGTACAAATTTTGTCTATAATATACATCCTTTTTTTCCCTGAAAATTTGTTGAGGTTTTCATAATATAAAAGAAAAAACAAATTGCGTAACCGACGTATAATAACTTTCCAACGACATAATTATGTAAAAAACCGACGTAAAATGATATTTAGACGTGATATACCGTTTGTACATACATGGGACGTCGTTTTAGTGAACATTTCGCCATGGTTTCGCTTTTAAACGACGTCCTTTGAACAAGTAAGTCGTTTATTATATAATTTAGAGTTTAGGGTTTAGGTTAATACTTTTAACGACGGTGATTCAGTCGTGGAATATGTATTTTACGTCTGATGGTGAAACATCCACCATGGTTTCTCTTTTAAACGACGTCTTTTTTACAAGTGAGTCGTTTATTATTATTTACAACGTCGTGGTTTGTTGTTGATAAAAGAATATTTTATTATTTTTAATTCAAAATATTCAAAATAAATTTAAAATAAATCCAAAAAATGCAACTTCAACTCCTATGAAGTCATTGATATATTTTCTTCCCCCTAAACCTCAAAAAAATGCAGTTTGAGTAATAAAAGTTTAAAATGACAACCCAAAATTAAATTGTTTTGATGAGTCATAACATCACTTATATAGTTTGATGGTTTAGGGTTTAGGGTTTGGGGTTCAGGGTTGTTATTTATTAGGGTTTAGGGTTAAAGTATAATTTTTGGGGTTTAGGGTTTATGTTTCTTATATATTATGCTGTAAAACAATAAAAAAAATTTATAAAATTAAATTTTACAAATATATAATTTATGGTTTGAAAGTTTAGGGTATTACTTTAAACAACGGTGACTGAGTCATGGAATATTGAGTTTACGTCGGATAGTGAAAAATCCGACATGGTTTCTCTTTTAAACGATGTTTTTTTTACACGTGAGTCGTTTATTATAATTTACAACGTCGTTAGTTACTTAACCCCGCCGTGGTTTGTTGTTGATATAAGAATATTTTATTATTTTTAATTCAAAATTTTAAAAATAAATCCAAAAATTCAACTTCAACTCCTATGAAGTCATTGATATATTTTCTTTCCCCTAAACCCCAAAAAAATGCAGTTTGAGTAATAAAAGTTTAAAATGACAAACCAAAATAAATTGTTTTGATGAGTCATAACATCACTTATATAGTTTGATGGTTTAGGGTTTAGGGTTTGGGGTTTAGGGTTGTTATTTATTAGGGTTTAGGGTTAAAGTATAATTTTTGGGGTTTAGGGTTTATGTTTGTTATATATTAGGCTGTAAAACCATAAACAATTTTATAAAATTAAATTTTACAAATATATAATTTATGGTTTGAAAGTTTAGGGTATTACTTTTAACGACGGTGATTGAGTCGTGGAATATAGAGTTTACGTAGGATAGTAAAAAATCCGACATGGTTTCTCTTTTAAACGACGTTTTTTTTACACGTGAGTCGTTTATTATAATTTACAACGTCGTTAGTTACTTAACCCCGCCGTGGTTTGTTGTTGATATAAGAATATTTTATTATTTTTAATTCAAAATTTTAAAAATAAATTTAAAATAAATCCAAAAAATTCAACTTCAACTCCTATGAAGTCATTGATATATTTTCTTTCCCCTAAACCCCAAAAAAATGCAGTTTGAGTAATAAAAGTTTAAAATGACCAACCAAAATAAAATTGTTTTGATGAGTCATAACATCACTTATATAGTTTGATGGTTTAGGGTTTAGGATTTGGGGTTTAGGGTTGTTATTTATTAGGGTTTAGGGTTAAAGTATAATTTTTAGGGTTTAGGGTTTATGTTTGTTATATATTAGGTTGTAAAACCATAAACAATTTTATAAAATTAAATTTTAAAAATATATAATTTATGGTTTGAAAGTTTAGGGTATTACTTTTAACGACGGTGATTGAGTCGTGGAATATAGAGTTTACGTCGGATAGTGAAAAATCCGACATGGTTTCTCTTGTAAACGACATTTTTTTACACGTGAGTCGTTTATTATAATTTACAACGTCGTTAGTTACTTAACCTCGCCGTGGTTTGTTGTTGATATAAGAATATTTTATTATTTTTAATTCAAAATTTTAAAAATAAATTTAAAAGAAATCCAAAAAATTCAACTTCAACTCCTATGAAGTCATTGATATATTTTCTTTCCCCTAAACCCCAAAAAAATGCAGTTTGAGTAATAAAAGTTTAAAATGACCAACCAAAATAAAATTGTTTTCATGAGTCATAACATCACTTATATAGTTTGATGGTTTAGAGTTTACGGTTGTTATTTATTAGGGTTTAGGGTTAAAGTATAATTTTTGGGGTTTAGGGTTTATGTTTGTTATATATTAGGCTGTAAAACCATAAACAAATTTTATAAAATTAAATTTTACAAATATATAATTTATGGTTTTAAAGTTTATGGTATTACTTTTAACGACGGTGATTGAGTCGTGGAATATAGAGTTTACGTCGGATAGTGAAAAATCCGACATGGTTTCTCTTTTAAACGACATTTTTTTTACACGTGAGTCGTTTATTATAATTTACAACGTCGTTAGTTACTTAACCTCGCCGTGGTTTGTTGTTGATATAAGAATATTTTATTATTTTTAATTCAAAATTTTAAAAATAAATTTAAAAGAAATCCAAAAAATTCAACTTCAACTCCTATGAAGTCATTGATATATTTTCTTTCCCCTAAACCCCAAAAAAATGCAGTTTGAGTAATAAAAGTTTAAAATGACCAACCAAAATAAAATTGTTTTGATGAGTCATAACATCACTTATATAGTTTGATGGTTTAGAGTTTAGGGTTGTTATTTATTAGGGTTTAGGGTTAAAGTATAATTTTTGGGTTTTAGGGTTTATGTTTGTTATATATTAGGCTGTAAAACCATAAACAAATTTTATTAAATTAAATTTTACAAATATATAATTTATGGTTTTAAAGTTTATGGTATTACTTTTAACGACGGTGATTGAGTCGTGGAATATAGAGTTTACGTCGGATAGTAAAAAATCCGACATGGTTTCTCTTTTAAACGACGTTTTTTTTTACACGTGAGTCGTTTATTATAATTTACAACGTCGTTAGTTACTTAACCCCGCCGTGGTTTGTTGTTGATATAAGAATATTTTATTATTTTTAATTCAAAATTTTAATTCAAAATTTAAAATAAATCCAAAAAATTCAACTTCAACTCCTATGAAGTCATTGATATATTTTCTTTCCCCTAAACCCCAAAAAAATGCAGTTTGAGTAATAAAAGTTTAAAATGACCAACCAAAATAAAATTGTTTTGATGAGTCATAACATCACTTATATAGTTTGATGGTTTAGGGTTTAGGGTTTGGGGTTTAGAGTTGTTATTTATTAGGGTTTAGGGTTAAAGTATAATTTTTAGGGTTTAGGGTTTATGTTTGTTATATATTAGGCTGTAAAACCATAAACAATTTTATAAAATTAAATTTTACAAATATATAATTTATGGTTTGAAAGTTTAGGGTATTACTTTTAACGACGGTGATTGAGTCGTGGAATATAGAGTTTACGTCGGATAGTGAAAAATCGGACATGGTTTCTCTTGTAAACGACATTTTTTTTACACGTGAGTCGTTTATTATAATTTACAACGTCGTTAGTTACTTAACCCCGCCGTGGTTTGTTGTTGATATAAGAATATTTTATTATTTTTAATTCAAAATTTTAAAAATGAATTTAAAATAAATCCAAAAAATTCAACTTCAACTCCTATGAAGTCATTGATATATTTTCTTTCCCCTAAACCCCAAAAAAATGCAGTTTGAGTAATAAAAGTTTAAAATGACCAACCAAAATAAAATTGTTTTGATGAGTCATAACATCACTTATATAGTTTGATGGTTTAGGATTTAGGGTTTAGGGTTTGGGGTTTAGGGTTTAGGGTTTAGGGTTTAGGGTTTAGGGTTTAGGGTTTAGGGTTTAGGGTTTGGGGTTTAGGGTTGTTATTTATTAGGGTTTAGGGTTAAAGTATAATTTTTAGGGTTTAGGGTTTATGTTTGTTATATATTAGGCTGTAAAACCATAAACAATTTTATAAAATTAAATTTTACAAATATATAATTTAGGGTTTTAAAGTTTAGGGTATTACTTTTAACGACGGTTATTGAGTCGTGGAATATTGACTTTACGTCGTATGGTGAAAAATCCGCCATGGTTTCTCTTTTAAATGACGTTTTGTTTACACGTGAGTCGTTTATTGTTATTTACAACGTCATTAATTACTTAACCCCGACTTGGTTTTTCATAGTTTTGACGACTTCTGTTTGATTTTGCGTCGTACATAGTTTTACCACGGCGTCCTTAATGTAATAAGCGTCATGTTTAATGTGAAATTTTAACGACGTTTGTTTTTTCGGTCGATGTTTTAAAGAGTGCGCTTTCTTAAAATATTCGCGGGACCTAAAATTTTCAGATTTGGCTCTTAGTTTTATACTTCTAACCCTGAACCCTAAAATTTTCAGATTTCGCGCAACATAACATTTCGCTCTCTCACTTCATCTCTAATTCAAAGTTGGGCTGTCCAGGCTGTGTCAAATCCAATTTGGTCATAATCTGTGAGCTCTGCCAACCTGTAAGTACAAACCCTCTCTTTCCCTTGTAAATTCATTGAATGATATTACGTTGTTTTGTTAAAGGGTTTTAGATATATGTTTTGCAATCTGTTAATAATGTTGTTGGAGGTATGGGTTCATGGATTTTCTGTTTAATGTTTTCTTGATCACTCTCTGTTATGTTGAATAGGGAATGAATTTCATTTTGTCGGATCTTTTAATCACTCTCTGTTATGTTGAATTGGGAATGGATTTATTGTTTTCATGCTTAGTATATGTTGGTTTCATGCTTGGTTTCATGTATATGTTGTGTTCTTAATAGGGTTTTTTGGGATCTTGAAAAT